GACGACAATGCAAACGTCGTGGCAGCATGCCGCTTGAAAAACAGGGGTAACAGACCAGGCCTTGTAAAGATCTAGGTATCCTCTCTCACTGAAAAAAAGGCTGTGTTACGGGAAAAGCGTAAACTCCGAGAAATAGAAAAGTTCAAAACCGTCTTTCTCAGATCTAGTAAAACCCATACTGAAAGACTTATCGAACTTAATGCACGCACTATCTTAAACGAAATGCCACACGGCAAGCAGTTTCGAATTACAGCAAACGGCAGAATTGTTAAAAAGCAACCGCAAGTTGAACAGACCAATGATGTTCTCTCCGATCACGAGGATGAGTAGGACAGAACCCGACCCACAGGTAGTCTAAATATAGGACATTTAAATGTTTGTGGATGGACAAGATCAAATGAACAATTAAGAACTGAAATAATAAAGTATATTAATTGTGATATTGTTGGGTTGAACGAAACACACTTAGTTAATGAAGATGGTATAGACTTAACAGAGCATGGGTTTAAATGGATTGGGTTTAATCGCACTCACACTCATATTAAAGCACCGAAAGGTTCAGGGGGCGTGGGAGTCGTGGTAAAAGACTGGCTTTTTAACTCTTATTGTATTGACATTGTCGACAAATCTTATGAAGGAATCTTAGGAGTGCGCTTTGTAAATAAATATAATGACTTTACACTTATTCTCTTCACTGTGTACCTACCTCCTGAAAATTCACCGTGGGGACGTGATGCTTCCTCATTCTACTCACATTTACTAACGCAAATTTATTTACATTATGAATCGTATGCCATAGTTGTATGTGGTGACCTGAATGCCAGAATTGGAAACACCCAAGACTGTAACGACTTTCTCGATAACATACCACTACGTAACTCCGTAGATGCTACCCATAACCAACACGGAAGTTCGTTTTTAGAGTTTCTAAATGACAGTCGATTTTGTACCTTAAACGGACGTTTCGGAGAACAGTCAAATCAGTATACATACCATTCTACGCGTGGTCAATCAGTAGTTGACTATATATGTGTTCCTCACGATGTCTTTCCTCAGTGCAAAGATTTTTGTATTGTGAATTGTAATAGTGTAATTGAAGAACTCAGCGCAATGAACCTTTTAGGAGAAAAATGCAAGGTGCCCGATCATAGTGTGCTCAAGTTTAAAGTAGTCTTTGAATACACCGTACATGCGGATGCTGATGAAAATAAAAGCAACCCGAAAAAGCGATTTAACCTTAGACGAATTCCAAGCGATTTCATGAATTCTAATTCAGCCACACATGCAATAAACTTACTTATTAGAAAAATAGAGTTGTGTCGTGAAACTCAAAGAGAAATAAACGAAATATATGAAAATTTCTGTGAAATGGTTATTAGTGAAATGACTGAATCAATACCTAACTATGATTGGTCAAGAAAATCAAAGAAAAAATTGCGTATTCACAAGCCATACTGGAACAACGAGCTAACAGAACTGTGGAAAACTATGAGAAACCATGAAAAAAAGTTTTTGAAATGCAATGTAAAAGATCGACATAAAAAGCGTGAATTACGGGAAAATTTTAAACATGCTCAAAACATCTTAGACAAACGTATTCGTTACTATGAAAGAAATCATAACAGAACCTTAGCTCTAAATATTGAGTCTGTGTGTTCAGATGATCCTCGGAAATTCTGGGAGCATATCAAACGGCTGGGTCCTAATCGCAAAAAACAATTCCCTACAGAATGTTATGACGACCAAGGGGAAATAAGTTCAGATGAAAAATTACTTAAACAAACGTGGTATAAAGAATTCAAAAACTTATATAATCCTGACTCCGATCCAGACTTTGATGCAGCATTTAAGAACGAGGCTATCAACCAAAAGTTACACTTAGAACGTATGATGCTTGATCCTTTGTATATACCAAATACTTTTTTAAACTCACAAATAAACGAAGAGGAAATTCGAAAAGTGGTCTATAAAACAAAAAACGGCAAGTCAGTAGGAGTAGATGAACTGCCATATGAAGTTTTGAAAAATGAAAACGTCGTCAAAACATTGCACGAAATGTTTCAGTTATGCTTTGATTCTGGAATTGTTCCACAAACCTGGAGTAAAGCAATTATATACCCTATTATCAAAGACAACAAGTCAGATCCTAGAATCCCTTTGAATTACCGTGGAATCAGTCTTTTATCTGTAGTAGCCAAAATATTCAGTTCCGTACTTAACAACAGACTCCTATTTTATTTGGAGGAAAGTGATATCTTGGTGGATGAACAAAATGGGTTCCGAAAAGATAGATCCTGTATTGACCATATATTTACTCTCAACAGTATAATTGAAAATAATGAAGCAACATTTGTTACATTCATAGACTTGCAAAAAGCGTTTGACATGGTAGACAGAGAATTACTTCAATTAAATCTTTTGAAACATGGAATCGATGGAAACTTCTATCATGCTTTAAAATCCCTCTATTCCAACACAGAATCCTGTATCCGGATAGGAGACCGCTACACAGAGTGGTTTGAGTGCTCTTCAGGAGTTCGGCAGGGAGATAACTTGTCACCCACTTTATTTGCGCTTTTCATCAATGATCTCGCTACAGCCATTAAAGCATTAAATAAAGGAGTACAGATTGACGAAAATCTTAACTTAAGTATTCTATTGTATGCGGACGATATCGCAATTATTTCTCCGAATGAAAAGAATATGCAGGACATGCTCAATGTTGTGGACTCGTGGTGTAAAAAATGGCGTCTTCGAATCAATCCAAACAAATCCAAAATAGTTCACTTTCGGAAAAAACGCAAAAAAAGAAGTACTCATACATTTTATCTAGGAGGAGAAAATTTAACTTATGAACCTTTCTACAAGTATTTAGGAGTAATCTTTGATGAGAATTGTGATTTTACGAGAAATGCGGAAAATTTAGGAAAATCTGGAGGACGAGCTCTCGGATCTATGATATCTAAAATTCACTCCCTCAAAATGGTCGGATTCGAAACGTTTGAAAAGTTATATCTCAACTGTGTTGCTCCCATTCTGGACTACTGCAGCGGAGTTTGGGGAACCACAAATTATTATTGTACAGAGATGGTGCAGTCCCGCGCCTTACGGTATTTTCTTGGAGTACACCGATTCACACCATCGATTGCAATCCAAGGCGAATGTGGCTGGATGCCATGCTACTTTCGACAGCAGATTAACGTCTTGCGATTATGGAATCGTCTGATGATATTAGAAAACGACCGTCTGACAAAGAAAATTTTTCTATGGGATAGGGAACAAAATAACAAAACGAACTGGACTTCAAAAACTAAATTACTTCTTGATTCTCTAAATATGCCAGATATCTACACAAATTTATCAATTTGCAGCTTAGAACTTGCAGAAAGACTCCTCTGTCAACAGATTGAAACAAAATGGACTGAAGATTTGCAAAAAATTCCCAAACTAAGAACTTACCGTCTCTTTAAAAATCAATACAGATTGGAGGATTACGTTTCTATGGATTTGACAAAACCGATAAGATCAGCCATGGCAATGTTTCGTTGCGGTGTATTACCACTCCGAATTGAAACCGGACGTTATAAATCTGAGCCACCCCAAGATAGAATTTGCCAGTTTTGTAACAATAATGAAATCGAAAATGAAAAACATTTTTTATTACACTGCAAATTATATGAAATTAAAAGGATAGACTTCTTTCGTAAAATAGGATTTAAAAATTTATCAGATTTGTCTTTAGATTACACATTCTTTTCAGATATTTTATGTAAATTTCCCAGACAATCCGCAAATTTTATATTTGATGCTTTTAAAACTCGCCAGAACTTCATAAAAAGAACATTCTAATATCATTTATCTTCATTATGTGCCTTTGTATATATAATTTGTTAAAATATTAACAGTGACATATAGGTCCTTTGGGCCGGGTGTAAGAAACTAAACTTATTGTTGTAAAATATATTGTATTACTGTAACAATACACATGTCACTATAATAAATAATTTACTTACTTACTTACTTACTTAATACATGTATATAAGCATTACTTAATACAATAATAGCCTATCTCAATTTTACTCAAAATGCACTTATTATCTACTGCTAAAGAGCAAGTAATTGAATATCAAACATATATTGTTTACATGTTGTTTATATTAAAGAAACTTGGACTGAAGCATCTTTTAATTTAAAAAGCTACCACATTACTTATATGACAGTATAATTCAGTAAGTGACAATTATATTTTCCACATTTTTTCTTAATTATTATCATTTTACAGCATTCTTTTTTTTTTTTTAAATCACATTTGATGTCTCTAAGGGCCTGTACATGTTATGGGCATTGGAATAAAAATGCTCAGAAAGAAAATATGGATAAAATTGTACGTCTTGAAAAAATTTTATTAATGATTTTACTAGAATATAAAAATCATGCAAACTTGTGTTTATTAGATTTTTTTAATCAGGTCATTTTATCCTAAAGCAGGACATTATACCCCTGTTGTTTTTATTATGTCCAATAAAAAGTTTATATATTTCATTGTGCATTTTGCCACGATTCTCATAGAAGATAACAATATTTTGAATTATTATTTCCGATAAAAATGATATTGTGTATGCACCAAAATTGACAAAAAACTATTTATTATAATCAGTCAGGACATTGTACTATAAGGGCATTATACACTTCCGGTGTAAACAGCTTACTCAGGAACTGAGGAAGCAGGTAAGGCATGGTTTGGACTGAAAAAAAAACCAACGTCCTTGTTTGATTCCTTGAAACAATTGTGTAATTATGTTCTGGAGACTTGAAGTCTGTACAAAGACACACTACATCAAAGTAGTTTCATGTCGACCGCTTTATCAGTCTTCACAACAATTCTTTTTCAGCACATGCCCTTCGGGCATGTATATGGGTCATTTTAACCCAGCTAGCCCATTGAAATTTGTACATGCCCTACTCAAAATTCATTCATATAGCAGAGATATGATTGTGCAACAAAAAAATAAGGTTTTATGTTAACTATAAGGACAGTGTTTCTGTTTTTTAAATTCTCTTGATCTTTAGTTTAAATTTTTTCCAGAGTTTTAAAAAATCAACCGTGGCCTGCCTGTCTGCCATTTACGTAACTTTTGACTCACATGCTGGTCATTTGTTGATATGTAATTTAGCAAGAAACATCAAGAAAAAAATCAGTTATATATTACACACTTTAATTAATGATTACGATTGAAAATCATTTGACAGGTCGTACCGATAATGTAACGTAAGACAAATGTAGACCTGCAATTCAGATTAAGACATTACATAGCAAGTTTACACGAATAACTGGGGTACAACAGAAGAAATAGCAAGTAAACATTGTGAATCAAAAGAAAAGTCTCTCTCACATGCCCTTCGGGCATGTAATTTGAGAATTTACACATGCCCCCCCATATCAAAAAATAATACAGTAAAGTATATTTTTAATATACTTTTAATACATTCATTTTTGTACTTTCTTAAAATAATACAGAAAAAATATATTATTTTCCTATCACAAAAAATTCAGTATATCATTTTCGTATTAAAATTTGACTTTGATTTTGTACAGTGTATTATTTTTGTATTTTTTGGGACTTAGATTATTTTCAGTGTATTATTTTTGTATTTTTTGGACTTAGATTATTTTCAGTATATTATTTTTGTATTATTTCAGGACTTAATTTTTTCCAGATGTATTTTTTCTGTATCAAATTTGAACTTAGTAATTTTACAGAAAAGTCTATACAGTTAGACTGTATCATTTCTGTATTAAATTTGGACTTAAAAAATTTTACAGACAGTTTGTCTGTATTATTTTTATATCAAATTTAGACTTAGTAATTTTACAGAGTTTGTCTGTATTATTTTTATATTAAATTTGGACTTGGTAATTTTACAGAAAGACGATCAGTATTTTTTGTCTCAAATTTGATTTTAGTACATTTACAGAAAATTCCATATATTTGGTCTCTATTTCTTTTTGTTGTTGGGGGGGGGGGATTAAATTTAGACATATTTTTTTCTATTTACATTTGTCTTTATGAACTTTATAAATTTAAGAGAAATTCCTTGCAAAATGTTTGCTGCTTTTTTTTTTTTTTTTTTTAAGTTTATAGCATACCCGGTACTTAGAAACTTTATATTATATATTTTTTTTCAGGAATCTTGGTATCCGATTATCTAGAACTTAAATAAATAATTGGTACTAAAATTTATGTTAATCTCAATCAGTGGTAATCTAGAGAAATATTTCCATCTTGGGCATGAAGATTTTACAGCGGGTTTACATTAACTTCTCAGCGGGTTTACATCTTTCACTGTTTAGATCTATCACACAACAGGTGGTCTTGCAGGCTAACAAATGATTACATCATACTACAATTCAGAAATCACGTGATTTACCTGTGAACATGGAAAGTCCCAACTGGCAACTAGCTAATACCATGCATACGATGTTTTCTTCAGATTTTAGTAAATATGTGCATTTTTTTCACTCAGAGAAGGAATCATATTCAAATTATCCTAAATAAATTTCAAGAAATGAGCTTACAATGTTCAAGTAGAAAGGGATGTGCAAGTAGTAGGTTTCCTAATTAAATTATCAGTGTGTTTATAAGATAGATATTTACACTAGAGAATGTTAGCTGAAACTAACTTAGGTTGTTTTTTAGCCTTTTGTCACATCACATTCAGTTTTTGGTACAAAGTAAGTTGTTTTTATTCAGATAAAATATCAGACGAGTTTTTCTTCAACTCTGTGTTTATAATTCTACTCTCAGTTTAAAAAAAAAAAACGATCCTGATTTTAATTAGTTAATAATTTACAAGTTAATTATATTTGATCTTGGGCTAATTCTTGTATAATCAATGCAATCAAATGACAGTTTCTCAAGTTAAATCTTCTACCCTGACAGCCTGAGGCATGTTAATTAGCCAGGTGGCTGTGTGAATCGTTCAAGCGTAAAGTGATTTCCTGTCGTGAATTCACAGTTGGTTGCGTTATGTAAACAAGAGATTATCAGTATGCACTGAATCAACAGAACAGCTAAGGAATATTGCCAACACTGGGAATATTTATTAATTTTTTGTCAGGAAAAAAGGACATGGCGCCGAGAAAAGGGGGACATGGCTCTATACCTTGTTATTTTGCTTTAGATTTAACACTAAATTGATCATTCTTCTTGAACTTTATGGTCTACTTTACAGGTCAACTTGTATAATTAAAAAAACAAAACAATATGGCTGACCAGAAATCTTTCATCTGTAATCGGAAAATTTCTTAAAAACAAATATAACGATTATAAGAAATGAGTCCTCCTAATTATTCTAGTAATGATCAAGGGTTTATTAAATTTATTTCATATTACTTATTAGACTTCGTACATAAATACATTTCCTTAGACTGTTAAAAATATTTTATATTTAAAAATCGGAAATCTTCGTAAATAAGGAGCTATTTGATTGGTCAGATTTTAAAATTTTTCTTTGCTTTTCTCTGATTGGTTAACGGTAATTTACCCACGCCATTTTGAAAAATAGATCGACGAACAGAATTGAGAGAGTTGTGATGTTTAATAAAAATTTAGCTAGTATTCGCCGATGAAATTGGTAGAAAATAGATGTTTAGCTACAGCATGTTAGCATGGATCACAATTTTAAACAAAGAAAAGCGAAAACGGAAGGAGGTTGGCGTTTTTCAAGCATCATGCCCTGGCTTTCCAGGTGTAAACAACGCCATATGCGGTAAGAATTTAAATAAAATAGCACAGTAGTTTCAATTTTTAAAATGTGAAATGTAGATTAATAAATGTTAATAATATCTTTTATAACCAATTCATAGTAGGTCAAATTGAATGTAGATATATTGGAGATGTTGGATTTGTGGCGAAAGAGAGTTTTGTTTTGTTCTTTCTATCTTGAATTGTATGGATAATTACGGGCTTTCAACATGTTCAATGGCAGATGATATATTATTTACATGGACCAAAAATGACTTAAAAATTAATTTCACCCTATCCCTCAGGCCTAAGCATGGAATTATAACAGATAAAATCATCTTGGCATACAACCAATTAAATTTTGAAAAGTGAAGGGGGTGGGGGGGGGGGGGTAAGCATTTCAAATAAGCTTCATGGATTTATGGTTTAGCATACTTATAATTATTTCAAAAATGACTTGAACAGTCTGTGTGGTTCCCTATCGTATATGATTTAATGATTCTAGGCACAAATTAATTATTTTTTATATCAATATATGATGATCCATGTTTCCCTTCCCCAATATCAGTTTAAGATTTCAAATCAAATGACCCCCCCCCCCCCCAATTCCAATGAGGTGTATTGACAGTTTTATATTTTCATCTTTTAATGGTCTTTATTTCTACCTGTTCTGCAAAACATTTATCAGTATCATTACTTTTTCAGTTTGAGTGCCTCTACAGAGCCAAAGAAGAAAAGCTGATTAGTTATAGAGGAATAGCTAGGACACCTACCCACCCACCCTCCCACCCTACACCTTGAAGCATTACAGGTGTGTAACATTGACAAATGACAATATCAGCTAATCATGTGAAGATTTCTTTTTGTGTGTGTCTGTGCATCTATTTTTGATATACCCCAGTACATTTTGATATTCTATTTTGTAGTCTAAGATTATGCAGGACCAAGCAGGATGACAGTGAGAAAACTGGAGATGTACTTCTTCAATAAAGTATAGTGCTGTGCAAAAGAAACCCCAAAGCAGAGAGAAGATCTAGACTTTTGAATTCATATCTCATAATAAATGTATAATTTACAAAGGCAATAAGATTGATAAAACATGACTTAGAAATGAGGACAATTGAAGAGTGAATACTGTATGTAAGGCAGAAAAGATCAAGATTATTGCACAAAAAGTAACTAAATCAGTAATCTAAAGCCATTTCTCTTTAAAATCTGATTGAAAGCTGCATTTAAGAAGTTTTTCACGTTTTAAGTACTTTTCTAGGCACTGCTTTGTTTTATTTAAAGCTTTTTTATGTACTTTTTGTCTATCATTCTTGTACCTTTTTTGAACTCCTAAATGTATTTTTTTTTGTACCTTTCAGAATGTATTATTTTTAGATTTTTTTAATTTTAAAATCGATTTTAATACAGAAATAATAGACTGATACAAAATTAATACATTTTGTATTATTTTCCTATTTTTTTTTTTCAAGGTGCTCCAAATAATACAGAAACAATAGACTAATACAAAATTAATACATTTTGTATTATTTTCCTATTTTTTTTTCAAGGTGCTCCAAATAATACAGAAATAATAGACTGATACAAAATTAATACATTTTGTATTATTTTCCTATTTTTTTTTTTAAGGTGTTCCAAATAATACAGAAATAATAGACTGATACAAAATTAATACATTTTATATTATTTTCCTATTTTTTTTTCAAGGTGCTCCAAATAATACAGAAATAATAGACTGATACAAAATTAATACATTTTATATTATTTTTGTATTTTTTAGTTCTTCTCTAAATTGTATTATTTTTGTACTTTGGATTAGGATTTAATACAGAAAAAATACAAGAGTACAGAAAAAATACATCAAGTGTATTATTTTTGTATTTTTACTGAGAAATAAAGTATATTAAAAATATATTTTTTTTTGTGTTTCATTTCTAAGAAAGTGTATTATTTTTGACCTAATTTGGAACCAAGATAAAAAGGGTTCCAAATTTGGTCATTAAAAATATACTTTTTTTGTATTATTTTTGTATTATTTTAATCTATTATTTTTATATTTATTTTCGATATGGGCCCAGGCAAATTTACCAGGTCCCGGGCATGGGGCACCCAGGTTATTTCGAAGACTGCTTTATACCTGTTAGACAGATCATGGATAAGCCTTTCCGAATTCCCTCGGTTTAATTCTTATTACACTGTTAGTGTGTTTGTTTAAATACAATCAGCTTTTAAATTGAATTTTTAAGAGTTAATTATAATTGTATATCATGTGATATGATCTTTTTTAAAGCAGAGTGCATCATGTATTTAATTTTTGTATCCTTTCTATCAGAAAAGTCATAGGCTATAATAAGAATCATTTGACTTGTTTAATGTATTGTGGTATATTAAGTTTATTTATGTATTCTTAAATTATTTCATTTCGATCCCGATGTAAATTAACTTGCTTATATTTGGAAACACCCACTTTTATGCGACTATCGAAAGGGGAGGAAGACGACTGGCTTTATTCTCTATAGCTACACTCTTCACATACTAGAATCATCTTTTTTTCCATCTGTTTATATTGCTTTTATAGTTCATATTTGGGTTAGACTATATTTTGGTTGGGGGTAAATTATGTACATCGTACGTACATTATAGCAGTTTTCTGTAAGACTTGTTATAAATTTGTAAAGTCGGAATGCCAATATTGACCTCATAGAACAACACCTACATGTAGTATCGCGAGTACCTCACAGATATAAATTCTTACTACCGCTCTTTGCAAGGGAGTAGGGAAGGCTCTAAATCTCACAATTTAGATTTCTGGGGTACGTATAACAATTTTTACACTAGTGACAATCAAATGATTCAAACAATTTTGATTGTATGATATCCAATATTTTAGAAATCACAAAATTTTATACAAATATTAACATTACATTTGGCGTTAGGACTGAAACAAAACACCCCCTCCACGATACGATACGTATTGCAATACTTGTGTCACAATTCAATTTTTTCAATACAATACATTTTAAAAAAGAAACAGATCATTAAGTTAAAGAAAACATGTATTCAGATTCCAAAAGATACATATAAGGTAACGATACAAAAAGAAAACACTTTTTGTGCTTCTGTCGATTAAAAAAGTGCATTGTCTGTGTCAATTCTAGCAGCAGCAACCTGCACAAAAACTTTTTCTGTCTTAATTTTCTCTCTCATGAGTGTCAAATAAACTGACAAAATGAGGACAAAGACAGTCAATTGAAAGGTTAGCTAACCTGAATATAAAAAAATGTTTTGAATTGAAAATTGAGGTAGTGAATTGAATATTGAATTGAGGAATTATATTGAACAATATCGATATTTCGATGAATTGTTCCAGCCCTATTTGGCTTGCAAATTTTTTAGCACTTTGGGGGGAAAGAAACTTCAGCTAAGTCAAGTACAGTATGCTAAATGTCTTGCACATATGTTAATAATTAAAAACTTTATGAAATGCACTAAATCAAATCTATACGCTAACTTGCTCAAAAGTCAAATATTATATTTTTATTACACACTTAGTAGTAAATACAGGTTTTTTGCATAATTTTATGCAATATGGCTTACGTCACAATAGCCGTATCAGCCCTGCAGGGCTGATACGGTTATTGTGACGTCAATATCACACCCTTAATAAATTAAACCACAAAAACAGTACTTGTGATCATACACAATTTTTGGTGGGTTCATATTCTTGTAATTTTAACTTTTTGAAAATAAATTTAATCTTAATTTACAAAAACATGTAAAAGATTATTTTCAAATTACGGATCGAGTGCATTGAAATAGAAGTAGAAACAAACCAAAATCATATGAGGCAATAGACCATGTACATGTAGTATGTTAGTTTACTGAGGCCGAAGGCGATTCAAAAGTCAGCCAATTAATTCATTGTTATTAAATGTTATTGAATTTCCAAATGTTTGACACGTTTGTTCTTGTCTCCAACAAATGTATACACTCATGATTTAAAGCATAGTGTAATAACACATTATGATTTGCATAATTAGTGTTGGCAAATCGGATGATTTTTTTAAGTGGTTACTCGTTTCATCTTCCAATCGAGTACCCGGTTACTCAGATGAGTTTTGGTAAAAGCATCAATATCTATTATTTATCTTTTTCTATTCTTATCGGTATAGTAATCTGCAAATATACTGTATATGGACATTATTTTTACAATACACACATACAATATCATCAAAGATTTACTGTTTTAAAATAAAGAAAATAAGGAAGTCGACACACCGAGAAGACAAATAAATATATCATTGTCAATCACCATTTTACACTTTCCATTTCAGCCCCCGAAATATGTCGCAATCAAGGAGAATAATTATTTATATACTCCATAATTAATAGTCAGTATGTGGAGTTTCCAGTAAATAGCTGGTTTCCGAATATTTAAAGATTAGGTGATTTAACAGATTTTGAATCAGCTGTTCTTCTGGTAAACTCCAAGCTTATTATGTCTGCGACGGCATCTCGTTAAATTATCAAATGAGGTAATTATAGCTCAGGTCTTCAAAAGATATATACCCGAAGCAATCAAAGCTATCAATTATATGAACTGTTAAAACTAATCAAAACAGTTTGATCCACTACAACCATGCACTAGATCAAGTCTAATGATATCTAAAATTAGCGAAATGTGTAAGTTAGTATGCCGGTACATTTATAAATTATTAAACATTTATTTCTATGCCTTTACTATGGAGAATTCATTTTATCCGAGTAACTGAATAGCAGTTTTACTAACCGATACTCACATTGTTCGACAATTAACCAGGTACTCATTGCCAACGCTAATTATGATTGTAATTTATCAGCTTTATCAAATGTTTAAAAGTGGAAAAAATATTATTAAACAATAGATACTCAACTATTAATTTACTAAGAAAGTAGTTTAGTGCATTGGTATCTAGCATGGTAACATTTACAATGACACATGTTTTAAACCCCCCAATTTGATTGGTCAAAAAATGTAAGCAAATATATGGTTGGTCAACGTGGTCAAGAGGGAAAACCCCAAAACCTCCTGGAACTTTAATTTGAAGTGAACTCACTCTGAGGTACACCCAAGAATGCCCAAGGAAAAGGTGTCTAGTCCAACAAGAGAGCACCTTAATCCCTGATCATTTAATTTCTATGCTTATTGTATAGAAATGGGAACTCAATAGTATTACAAACTTTTACTTTGAGAATAATATTGATAAATTTCTGTATAAAAATGCTTTTACAACATGTATTAAAGATTTGTTCCTACCTAAAAAAAAAAAAATTCCTATACATTCTGAATTAAATTTATGATTTTTTTTGTTAGAATGTTCAAGGCAACCAGAAGCTTGAGTCCATCCTGAACATAGAGACAACACAGATATTAGCAGAGCTGGATAATATTGCTAGAGGATTAGTTAATGCAACTCAGCAAGGACTAGTGATGGATATGTTCCAGGTTCCACAGCTAGGAGAATGTCAGGAAGAAAAGCCTCATCATTAAAAGTGTTACAGGTGAATTATTTAGGAATTTAAGAAATAAATAGGATAGATAAAGATATACTAGGGAATTAATTTTTTGTTGGTTCATGATCACATCTATTGAGAAGCCAAAGGCCAAAGTATTGCATGCAGTAAATATTGTTTGGATGTAATCACACTTATATCATTGTATACAAATAACCTTTATCCGTATTGATAAATATTTTGAATTTATGTCAGATAATATAAATCTAAATTCATTCCTGTGTCAAATTATATTTTCGTTTCCAATGTCTTTGTTCAAGAGACAATAATAGTCAAATGAATGCACTTTATTTGGCTTGCATAATAACTTTATGCATAAATGCCTTCTGCGTTTATGCAAATTATCATGCCAACCAATTGATTCTTTTCAAGAACCACAGGGCTAGGAAAGATGAAACTCATGTGAAATCATCCTCAGGTAGTGTCAATTCAAGTTTGTTTAAATCATGACCCTGGGGGTAGGGTGGGGCCAAAATGGCTGATCAAAGTTTTACATAGGACTAGATAGGGAAATCTTTTAAAATTGTCTTCTCAAGTACTTCAAAGCCATTATTAGTGATATTTATGTTGAAACATCCTCAGGTAGTGTAGAATTAAATTTGTTCAAACCATTATAACGCCTAAGGGTAGGGTGGGGTCACAATGGTGAATCAAAGTTTACATAAAAAAATAAAGGGAGAAATCCCAAGAACAGAAAAGCTATGTTTAGTCATATTGACATGTAAGCATCCTCAGGTATTTAGGATTTAAATTTATTCAAATTATGGCCCTTTGGGGCAAGAAGGGAAACAATGGGGAATCAAATTCAAGTATTATGAAGTTATATATATATACATTTACTTTGTTTTACCCTAATAAAAAGCATTATGAAATTATAAGTGATAAATACACATAACACACAAGACCAAATCACCGAAGTCTGTCTGGCGTATGAATACAGGGACTATGTCATTACAGTTTAAACAAAGCGAAAACTTCATGTTTTTAGCTCACCTGAGCCGAAGGCTCAAGTGAGCTTTTCTGATCAAAATTTGTCCGTTGTCTGTCGTTGTTGTCGTTGTCGTAGTTGTTGTCGTTGTCATTGTAAACTTTTCACATTTTCATCTTCTTCTCAAGAACCACTGGGCCAATTTCAACCAAACTTGGCACAAAGTATCCTTGGGTAAAGGGGATTCAAGTTTGTTCAAATGAAGGGCCACGCCCTTTTCCAAGGGGAGATAATCATGAATTTGTTAAAAATTAATGGCATTTTTAGAAAATCTTCTTCTCCAGAACCGCTGGGCCAGGAAAGATGAAACTCATGTGGAAGCATCCTCAGATAGTGTAAATTCAAATTTCAAATTTTAAATCATGACCCCCGGGGCAAGGGTGGGGCCAAAATGGCCGATCCAAGTTTTACATAGGAATATATAGGAAAAATCTTTAAAAATCTTTTTCTCCAGAACCACTTGGCCAGGAAAGATGAAACTCATGTGGAATCATCCTCAGGTAGTGTAGATTCAAGTTTGTTCAAATCATGACCCCCGGGGCAAGGGTGGGGCCAAAATGGCCGACCCAAGTTTTGCATAGGAATATATAGGAAAAATCTTTTAAAATTTTCTTCTCCAGGACCACTGGGCCAGGAAAAATGAAACTCATGTGGAATCATCCTCAGGTAGTGTAGATTCAAGTTTGTTCAAATCATGACCCCCGGGGCAAGGGTGGGGCCAAAATGGCCGACCCTAGTTTTAAATAGGAATATATAAGAAAAATCTTTAAAAATTTTCTTCTCCAGAACCACTGGGGCAGGAAAAATGAAACTCATGTGGAATCATCCTCAGGTAGTGTAGATTCAAGTTTGTTCAAATCATGACCCCCCGGGCAAGGGTGGGGCCAAAATGGCCGACCCAAGTTTTGCATAGGAATACATAGGAAAAATCTTTAAAAATTTTCTTCTCCAGAACCACTGGGCCAGGAAAGATGAAACTCATGTGGAATCATCCTTAGGTACAGTGTAGATTCATTAAATTTGTTCAAATCATGACCCCCGGGGCAAGGATGGGGCCAAAATGGCCGACCCAAGTTTTACATAGGAATATATAGGAAAAATCTTCTTCTCAAAAACCACTGGGCCAGGAAAGATAAAAATCACGTGGAATCATCCTCAGGTAGTGTAGATTCAAGTTTTTTTCAAATCATGACCCCCGGCCCTGGGGATAGGGTGGGGCCAAAATGGCCGACCTAAGTTTTACATAGGGATATATAGGGAAACCTTTTAAAATCATCTTTTCAAGTACTTCAAAGCTATGATTAGTGATACCCGGGGTATTTATATGGAATCATCCTCAGGTAGTGTAGATTTTTGTTTGTTCAAATGATGAACGCCTGGAAGGGGGGGGGGGAGTAAATTCAAGCCTGATGTGCTCAGGTGAGCGCTGTGGCCCCTGGGCCTCTTGTTTAAAAATTCATTTGTATTTCTTTGTTCCAAAATATAGTTTATCATTTTAGATTGAAAAATTAAAAAAAAAACTTTGATTGTTATCTGTTTTATTGTGCACTATTTTTGTTTGCGGACTTTGGTTTGTGTGCAAACAAACTCTGGCGGGAAACTTGGATAAAGCTGTTCCAAAAGCTGTTCTATCAATTGTAACTTA